CTGGTCCAGACTGCTCATTTCCTATGGGCGCTCCAGGAGCACGCTGGGCAGATGGAAAAGGTTTCTGGGGACTGTTTTCAGATCCACCGGCTGACACATCAGTCAAACGTACATCCATGCTATAGTTTGACCCTTTGAAGCAAGTAAGAGGTCCAGAGGTACCACCCTCCACCCCACACCGTTGAAAACACAGGTTAGGCGGCGCGGTGGCTTCAAGCCTGTAATCTCCAGCACTTTTGGAGGCCAACAACGGTGGAATCACAGAGGTCAGGAGATCGAGAACCATCCTGGCTAACACAGGTGAAACCCCTGTCCTCTACTAAAAAACCAAAAAACTAGCCGGTGCGAGGTGGGCGGCAGCCTGTAGTCCCAGCTACTCCGGAGGCTGAGGCAGCGAGAAATGGCGGGAACCCGGGAGGCGGAGCACTTGCAGTGAGCTGAGATCGGCCACTGCGCTCAACAGCCCGGGCTACAGAGCAAAACTCCCGTCTCAAAAAAAAAAAAAAAAAAAAAAAAGAAAAATCCACAGGTAACTTTCAAAACTTTCCCAAAACCTTTAATTACTGGCAAAGGTGCGGTGGGGGCTCATGCCCTGTAATCCAAGCCACTTTGGAGGCCTGAGAACAGCCCAAAGATCACAAGGTCAGAAAGTTCCGGAGACCCAGCCTGGACAAAACTATAAAACACCAATCCTCTAACCTAAAAAATACAAAAAAATTAAGCGGCAGGTGTCCGGTGGGGCAGAGCACCGTAAATCCCAGGCTCACAAACTTCGAAGGCTAGCCATGGCAAAATCCGGCAAATGTGTGAGACCTTCTCCTATTTCAAAAAATACAAAAAAAAAAAAAAAAAAAAGATAAAAAGAAAAAGATAGGTTTGGTGGTGTGCACCTATAGTCTCAGTTACTCGGGTAGCTGAGATGGGAGGATGGCTTGAGCCCAGGAGGCACATGTTATAGTGAGCTGAGATCATGCCACTGCACTCAGCTGGGGCGATAGAGCCAGAACTTGTCTCAAAACAAAAATAAACCAAAAAACAAACTTAATTACCAATAGCCTACTGTTGCCTGGAAGCCTTACTAATAACATAAACAGTCTATGACTGTCACCCAGGGTAGAGTGCAGTGGTGCAATCTCAGCTCATTGCAACCTCTGCCTCCCAGGTTTCAGTGATTCCCCTGGCTCAGCCTCCTGGGTAGCTGGGAGTACAGGTACACACCACCACGCCCGGCTAATTTTTAGTAGAGATGGAGTTTCACCATGTTGGCCAGGCTGGTCTCGAACTCCTGGCCTCAAGTGATCCACCTGCCTCAGCCTCCCAAAGTGCTGGGATTACAAGCCTTAGCCACCATGCTTGGCCCTGCTTTTTTTTTTTTTTTTTTTTTTTTGAGACAAGGTCTTGCTCTGTCCCCAGGCTGGAGTGCAGTGTTGCAATTATAGCTCACTGAAGTCTCGAACTCCCGGGCTCAAGGTATTCTCCCACCTCAGTCTCCCAAGTAGCCGGAGTTACAGGCACACACCACTAGGCCTGGCTAATTTTTTTTTCTTTTGAAACAGAGTTTCCCTCTTGTTGCCCAGGCTGGAGTGCAATGGCACGATCTTGGCTTACTGTAACCTCCACCTCCTGGGTTCAAGGGATTCTCCTGCCTCAGCCTCCTGAGTAGCTGGGGTTACAGGCATGCACCACCATGCCCCGCTAATTTTGTATTTTTAGTTGGTCAGTCTGGTCTCGAACTCTCGACCTCCTGGTCCACCTTGGGCTCCCAAAGTGCTGGGATTACAGACGTGAGCTACCATGCCCGGCCTAACTTTGTTTTTTGTTTTTTGGTTTTTTTACAAGAGATGGGGTTGGCCAGGCACGGTGGCTGACGCCTGTAATCCCAGCACTTTGGGAGGCCAAGACGGGCAGATCACGAGGTCAGGAGATCGAGACCACGGTGAAACCCCGTCTTTACTAAAAATACAAAAAATTAGCCTGGTGCAGTGGCAGGCACCTGTAGTGCCAGCTACTTGGGAGGCTGAGGCAGGAGAATGGCATGAACCCGGGAGGCGGAGTTTGCAGTGAGCCGAGATCACACCACCGTACTCCAGCCTGGGTGACAGAGCGAGACTCCGTTTCAAAAAAAAACAAAAAAGAGATGGGATTGCATTATGTTGGTCAGGTTGGTCTTGAACTCCTGGCGTCAAGTTATCCATCTGCCTCGGCCTCCCAGAGTGCTGGGATTACAAGTGTGAGCCACCACGCCCAGCCTAACTTTGGTATTTCTTAGGAGAGATGGGGTTTCATTATGTTGGCCAAGCTGGTCTGGAACTCCTGGCCTCAAGTGATCCACCTGCCTCGGCCTCCCGAAGGGCTGGGATGACAGGCGTGAGCCACCATGACTGTTGTGTATCCACTTTTTGGCTCTCAGAAACAGCCCCAACAAATAGTCACATCCAGACATCCAGGTTTTTGTGCGGATGTGAGTTTTCATTTCTCTGGGATAAATGTTCAGGAACGTTACTTGTTGGCATCTTTTTTTCATTCATTCATTTTTTTTTTTTTAATAGGATGTCAGTAATTTGGTTTTTGCATATTTCCGTGGAGATCAGATATCCCAGACTTCTATATATTATTCTAACACGGGGGGATTCAGTTTTTGGAAGTATCACTATGACGGACAGGTATGTTAAATTTGGTAAGAATGTGAAAATAAAAATATATGTACCTTGTGATTGTAGTAACTGCTGTCAATGGGTGCACGAGGGTTTTTTCCACTTTTAAGAGTCCAGCTGGGCCAGGGGTGGTGGCTCATGCCTGTAATCCCAGCACTTTGGAAGGCTGAGGCGGGAGGATAGCTTGAGCCCAGGAGTCTGAGACCAGCCTGGGCAACATGGCAAGACCCCATCTCTACAAAAATAAAAATTAAAAATATTAAAAAATTAGTCTGGGCGCGATGGCTCACGTCTATAATCCCAGCACTTTGGGAGGCCAAGGCGGGCGGATCACGAGGTCGGGAGATCAAGACCATCCTGGCTAACACGGTGAAACCCCATCTCTACTAAAAATGCATAAAAAATTAGCCAGGCGTGGTGGCGGGCACCTGTAGTCCCAGCTACTCGGGAGGCTGAGGCAGGAGAATGATGTGAACCCGGGAGCTGCACTCCAGCCTGGGCGACAGAGCGAGACTCTGTCTCAAAAAAAAAAAAAAAATTAGTCAGGTGTGGTGGCGTGTTTTAGTCCTAGCTACTTGGAAGGCTGAGGTGGGAGGGTCACTGGAGTCTGGGAGATTGAGGCTGCAGTGTCTATGATCACACCACTGCTCTCCAGCCTTGGGTTAGGGAAAATTCCAGGTCAATGGAGTCAGCTCAGGAGCCTGGGAAGTTAGAAAGGAGACAAAAAGTTTTAGGTCAGGCAAAATCATGGCACCATTTATGCCGTTTATGTAGTGCTTATAAAAAGCTAGTGACAGGCCAGGTGCGGTGCCTCACACATGTAATCCGAGCACTTCGGGAGGCCGAGGTGGGTGGACCATTTGAGGTTGGGAGTTCAAGACCCGCCTGACCAACATGGAGAAACTCCTCCTACTAAAAATACAAAAATACTAAAAATACAAAATTGGCCAGGTGTGACGGCGCATGCCTATAATCCCCGCTACTCAGGAGGCTGAGGCACGAGAATTGCTTGAATCCGGGAGGCGGAGGCTGCAGTGAGCTGAGACTGCACCATTGCACTCTGGCCTGGGCAACAAGAGCGAAACACTATCTCAAAAAAGTAAAATATAAAATGAAATGAAATGAAATGAAATAAAATCTAGCCGGGCTTGGTGGCGGGCACCTGTAATCCCAGCTACTCAGGAGGCTGAGGCAGGAGAATTGCTTGAACCTGGGAGGCAGAGGTTGCAGTGAGCCGAGATCATGCCACTGCACTCCAACCTGGGCAACAGAGCGAGACTCCGTCTCAAAACAAAACAAAACAAAACAAAACAAAAAAACCCCAAAAAACAAACAAAACAAAACAAAACTCTAATGCCCAGCTGGGTAGGGGTACGGTGGCTCACACCTATAATCCCAGCACTTTGGGAGGTCGAAGGGGGTGGATCGCTTGAGTCCAGGACACTATGTTGGGCACTATGTTGCCCAGGTTAAATACCAGCCTGGGCAACATAGTGAAACCTTGTCTCTACCAAAAATGCAAAAATTAGCCGGGCAAGGTGGTGCATACCTGTAGTCCCAGTTACTTGGGAGGTTGAGGCAGGAGGATTGTTTGAGCCTGGGATGTGGAGGTTGCAGTGACCCGAGATAGCGCCATTGCACTCCAGCCTGTATGACAGAGTGAGACCTGTCTTTTTAAAAAAAAAAAAAAAGCTAGTGCCCTAGTAAAGGCAACATATTAATTTATGACACATCCACATGCCCACCTGAAGACTCGTGCCATCAAGTTCCTCACCATGCTCACTTTACAGATGAGAAAACTGTAGTGGGTTGAACCAGTGTCCCCAAAATTTATGTCAACCTGGAACTGCAGAATTTAACTGTCTTTGGCATTTTTGCTGCTGTAACAAAATGTCTGAGACCGAGTAATTTATAAAGAACAGAAGTTTATTTGTCATGGTTGTGGAGGTTGGGAAGTCCGAGATCAAGGTGCCAGCAGGGTTGCTGTCTGGTGAGGGCTGCACTCTGCTCCCAAGATGGCGCCTATGTTGGGGGGTCCTCTGGAGGGGCAAAAGCCACATCCTCACACAGCAGAAGGCAGAAGAACCAACAAACTGTGCTGCCTTCAACCCAGAGCTCTTTTATAAGGATGCTCATCCCAAAGACCACGCCTGTTTATAATACATTGGGGATTTCTTTTTTTTTTCTTTTTTTTTTTTTTTTTGAGGCGGAGTCTCGCTCTGTCACCCGGGCTGGAGTGCAGTGACCGGATCTCAGCTCACTGCAAGCTCCGCCTCCCGGGTTCCCGCCATTCTCCTGCCTCAGCCTCCCGAGTAGCTGGGACTACAGGCGCCCGCCATCTCGCCCGGCTAATTTTTTGTATTTTTTAGTAGAGACGGGGTTTCACTGTGCTAGGCAGGATGGTCTCGATCTCCTGACCTCGTGATCCGCCCGTCTCGGCCTCCCAAAGTGCTGGGATTACAGGCTTGAGCCACCGCGCCCGGCCTACATTGGGGATTTCAGCATGAATTTTGGAGGGGACACTGTCATTCCAACCATCGCAGTAAACTGATTTGGAGGTAGGGTCTTTGCAGATATAATCAGTTAAGCTAGGATGCGGTCACATTGAAATCAGGTGGCCTTCAAATCAAATGACTGCTGTCCAGGTGAGGTGGCTCAGCCTGTAATCCCAGCACTTTGGGAAGCTGAGGGGGGGCAGATCACTTGAGGTCAGGAGTTCAAGACCAGCCTGGCCAACATGGTGAAACCCCGTCTCTACTGAAAATGCAAAAATTAGCTGGGCGTGGCGGCGCATGCCTGTTATCCCAGCTACTCGGGAGGCTAAGGCAGGAGAATCACTTGAATTTAGGAGGTGAAGGTTGCAGTGAGCCCCAGATCATGCCACTGTGCTCCAGCCTGGGTGACAGAGTGAAACTCTGTCTCAAGAAAAAAAGAAAAAAGAACAAACAACACAAAAAAGAACACCTAGCATCACTAAAATCCCCAATTATTACTAAAATAGCCTTTGTGTGTGTGTACATGTGTGTACGTGTGTGTGCGTGCATGTGTGTACGTGTGTGCGTGCATGTATGTTTGTGTGTACCTGTGTGTGCGCCTGCATGTATGCTTGTGCGTGTGGTGGTGAAGTTGTTTTTATCATGGACATTTCAAGAGGAGAGGTTACCTCAGAGAATAGTTGAGCTCAGCATTGCTATAGCCACAACAAGAGTCAACCCCTATTGCTATCAATTATGTATATTGATGGCTGGATACAGTGACTCACACCTGTAATCCCAGCATTTTGGGAGGCCGAGGAAGGAGGATCACTTGAGCTCAGGAGTTCAAGACCAGCGTGGGGAACATAGTGAGACCCTCCCCCATTTCTACAAAAAATTGAAAAAGAAATTAGCTGGGCATGGTGGCAGGTACTTGTGATCCCAGCTACTCAGGGGACTGGAGGATTGCTTGAGCCTGGGAGACTGAGGCTACAGTGGGGTATGATCACGCCACTGCACTCTAGCCTGGGGGACAGAGAGAGACCCTGTTGCAAAAAAAAAAAAAAAAGAAAAAGAGAAGAAACTGGCTGGAGTGATGGAGCAAGACCTAGAGTCCCTTCCAGGGCCAGATGGATCTCATAATTCCTAATGGGATAGGTGGAGGGAAGGTCTCGAAGGCGGGTAGAATATTAGATCTCCAAAGCTGTCCACATCCTAATTCCTGGAACCTGTGAATATGGTTCCTGACATAGCAAAAGGAACTTTGCGGATGGGATTAAATTAAGGATCTTGAGGCCAGGCTCAATGGCTCACACCTGTAATCCCAGCACTTTCGGAAGCTGAGGCAGGTGGATCACGAGGTCAAGAGTTCAAGACCAGCCTGGCCAAGATGGTGAAACCTCATTTCTACTAAAAATACAGAAAATTATCTGGGCGTGGTGGCAGGCACCCGGAATCCCAGCTACTTGGGAGGCTGAGGCAGGAGAATGGCCTGAACCTGGGAGGCGGAGGTTGCAGTGAGCCGAGGTCACGCCACTGCACTCCAGCCTGGGCAACAAGAATGTTACTCTGTCTCAAAAACAATCAAGGCCACACGCTGTGGCTGGTGGCTGTAATCCCAGCACTTTGGGAGGCCAAGGTGGGCGGATCATCTGAGGTGAGGAGTTCAAGACCAGCCTGGCCGACATGGCAAAATCCTGTTTCTACAAAAATTAGCCAAATGTGGTGGCAGGTGCCTGTAGTTCCAGCTACTCGAGAGGGGGAGGCCGGGAGGATTGCTTGAACCTGGCAGACAGAGGTTGCAGTGAGCTGAGACTGTGCCAGGCACTCCAGCCTGGGCAACAGAGTGAGACTCCATCTCAAAAGAAAAAAAAAAAAGATAGCAGTCTTAGTCTCTCTCTCTCTCTCTCTCTCTCTCTCTCTCTCTCCCTCTCTGTCTCTCTTCCTCTCTCTCTGTCTCTCTCTCTTTCTGTCTCTCTCTTCTCCTCTCTCTCTCTCTCTCCGTCTGTCTCTGTCTCTGCAAGATGTGGGAGGTAGCCAGCTGGGCTGCTATGGAAATCTGTCTCACTATTCCTAGGTGGGGACCTTGATTCATATTCCAAGTCAGCAGCTAGACACTTTACTGTCCAGCCAACAATCAGAAATGAGGACTCCCAGGCAGGAATGAAAGACTCAGGCATTCTTCTAACAGTCTGGGTCATATCATTTTCTCCAAACACTCACACCAAAGCTGTCTTCTTTCAAGTTTTTGACCCAAGTGTCACATTTCTTTTCTTTTCTTTTCTTTTTTTTCTTTTTTTTTTTTGAGACAAGGTCTTACTCTGTCACCCAGGCTGGAGGGCAGTGGCACAATTGTAGCTCACTGCAAACTCTGCCTCCTGGGTTCAAGTGATTCTCCTGCCTCAGCCTCCCGAGTAGCTGGGATTATAGGCGCCCACCACCACGCCCGGCTAATTTTGCGTTTTTAGTAGAGATGGGGTTTCATCATGTTACCAGGCTGGTCTCGAACTCCTGACCTCAGGTGATCCACTGCCTCGGCCTCCCAAAGTGCTGGGATTACAGGCCTGAGCCACCCCGCCTGGTCAAGTGTTGTATTTCCAGAGAGGGCATTATCTATTTTTTTTTTTTTAAAGACTTTCGTTTGTTGTAATTTATCAGATAATCTGAAGTTAAATTGACAAACACGTGGGTATTGAGATGGATTCATCTGAAGTATTTTCTGTTTGTTTCATAGGCAGAAATCGTCGGGTCTTTAGGTGGAATCTTCCACTTATTTTCTTTGTCGCAGGTGGGGATGCTTGTAGTGGATCAAGGGAAGGTAAGTAACTTTGCAGGGCAAAGAACTACCCAGAGGACCTTTGCCTAAGCCCAGGTTTTCATTACAACTCACACATTCTTAAACATTTATTTATTTATTTCTAGCCGGACTCTCCTCTCCCTCATAGACTCAGTGGGACTCACACAGTAGTCTGGGGAGAGGCTGAAAGCTGTCTTTTTCTCCCCAGGGCATGTTCAAGTACTTCAGACCACCCCCTCAACCGGAGTTTGGGCCCTTGTGTCTTTTGGACTATAACGGGACTCTTGACATCGTTCAATCGCCCCCGGCCCCAGAAAGGCATCCTGCTCCTGGTGGTTGGGATGGAGAGCCCTGTTGTTTTCCCTATAATGCAGGTGAGCCCAGGCCCAGGTGGGTGGCTGCCCAGTGGCTCTCGCTGCCAGGAGGGCCGGTACAGCCGTGGGATAAAGGGAGGGGAAGGGACGACCCGGTGCCACACGTGATTGTTTTTTTCCGTCTTCCATTGTTCCAAGTGGGACCACAGAGGCCGCCATAAATCGACTCAGTGGATCTCTCTGCGTCTGGCGCCACCCTGTCCTTGCTTGGCAGGCATACTTAGGACCGGGTAGGATAGTGACAACTGAAAATAAGTGATGGTGACAGAGTCTCCATCAGGAGGTTACTTCTGCCAGCTTTAGGGCGCATCCCCAGAAAAATGCCGTCAGGACACCTCTGAGGCTGCTCTTTACAGAGTTTCAGGGGAGGCTTGTATTTAACATTTCTTTTTCTTTTTTTTGGAGATGCAGTCTCGCTCTGTTGCCCAGGGCTGGAGTGCAGTGGCGCAGTCTCGGCTCACTGAAGCTCGCCGCCTCCCGGTTCACGGCATTCTCCTGCCTCAGCCTCCTGAGTGGCTGGACTACAGGCCGCGCCGCCTCGCCCTGGCTAATTTTTTTTTTTGTTTTTTATTTCTCTCGTATTTTTTAGTAGAGATGGGGTTTCACCATGTTCAGCCAGGATGGTGCTCGATCTCTCCCTGACCTCGTGATTTGCCCGCCTTGGCCTCCCAAAGGTGCTGGGATTAGCGCAGGGCAGTGAGCCACCGCGCCCGGGTGACTACAGGTGCACCACCATGCATAACTGAAAGCTTTATTTTTGTAGGGAGATGGTGGTTTCACCTTGTTGCCCAGGCTGGTCCCAAACTCCTGGGGCTCAAGCGATCCTCTAGCCTCAGCCTCCAAAGTGGCGTGGCAAGTTACAGGTGACAGCACGTGAGAGCCACCAAGGCCGCCGATCTGGTTTTATTCCTTATAGGTCGCGTCACCTGTATTAGAAGACATTCCGTTGTTGTTCAAGCCACTGGTTGACAAAAAACTCAATGGGCCCTCCCTCTGAGGGGCTTGCTGATTAGAGGGAAGACTACATGGTGGCGCGCCCGGTTTTCTTTGTTTCCTCTCTTCTTTTTCTTCTTGTTCTTTTTTTTTTTTTTTTTTGGATGGAGTCTGGCTCTGTCACCCAGGGCTGGAGTGCAGTGGTGCCGATCTCGGCTCACTGCAACCTCACCTTCTGGGTTCAAAGCGATTCTCCTGCCTCATCTCCCAAGTAGCTGGGATTACAGGTGCG